AGAGTTTAGGGGACCCATCCCCTCGTTGGGGCTTGCTGCACCCGGCCCCTTGTATTGCATTGCTGTCGGTCGGACGACAGCAACGATCGTAACTGTCGCACAGCATTGGATGCGTATCGATCGTCGGACTTGCCTGAGTATTCGACAATTAGATGCAGTTAGACTGTCAGCTGCTGTCGGACGACCGACTATGCATGCGCCTTCTCGCGGGTCTCTCTCCTCTCCAAGGTTTGGTCCTGGGGCATTCACCCGCTCTCTAATCGTCCTATCGATCGCGGCAGGACCATTGAGGAAAAGCCAGTAGTCCGTAAACCGGCAGTCTAGGGGGTTTACACTAGTTCGCCGAGAAACTGCATCACAATGCCCCCTAAATGGTATAAACCCTAAACGTCTATGAACACTGATATTCGCCTAGTAAACAGCTTGCTTTAAACTTCAGGAGTGGGAGGAATCCGCCCCAGTGAAAACGAAGATCGCTAACGGGCCCGGGGGACTCCCTCCCCTCTATGGTATATAGTCTTAAAGGATGAAGCTGCTTCTTCACAACTAAGGAATACGCTTTCTGTGCTTCCAAGCGCGTTGAGCGTTCTGAACCGCAATGCCTTCCCCTTGCTGGATGGGACCCCGTGGCAATATTTCAAGTGACATCCTTTCCAAGAATAAAATTTAGAAGATTGATTGAGGGTCTGTTCAAATATAATGAAATGTCTTGCCTTGTCATAAATAAGTTAGTTCTAGCGCTGTAGATCATATGTGAAGTTTCGCGTGTCTAAAGTCAATTTAAACAGAGTAATTTTTCACTAGAAATTGCATTTGTTACAGGAAGGCATGACCCACATCCAAGGAGAAGCTGCACTCCGAAATTTTACAGTAACTGAATTCGACAGTATCCTCTGCTTCCGAGAACTAGGATTCCTGTCGAGTGCAGACCACGCACCACAAGTGACGACGGCCTTCAAATAAATGTGGCGATAGTGGTTTATAGTGATAGCTGTTAGTTGGTTAGCGACAGTTGTACTTAGTGACAACTGCGAATAATTTGTGCACAATTTAGGTTTAGTGGAGGCCGTCGTCACTTGTGTTGGGTGGTCTACACTCGGAGCACCTGATTTCCGGAAGCAGAGGAGACTTCCAGAGTCTCATTTTGAACGTACTTCCTTGATACATCATGCGGGAAATTTATCGCACTATGAAAAATTCACGTAGGTTCAGGGTGTGGTTCACTAGGACAGAAAGCGACTTTTTCGCGTTTCGCAGCGCGAAACATTTTCCGCTGCGGGAACCTCAGGTCCACCGCTGATCATCAGTGGACCGAGGTTCCCGCAGCGAATCATCAGTGGACCCGAGACCTCCGCTACGAACAATGTTTCGCGCTGCGAAACGCGAAAAAGTCGCTTTCTGTCCTAGTGGACCACACCCGTTTGCTCGATTTTTCTCTTAGTTTGTGATGTCAACCAATGCTTAGTTTTAGAAAAATTTTATGCAATAGTGCCGTCATGTCGAGCCTTGTCCACTGCATGGTTTGTTTTGTCTTTCCGGTTCCTGATCTGAAGTTCTATCTGTCCACCTGTGGACTGTTGCTTGCTTATTACGGTTCAACAAAGGAAAGAGGGTGCTAACTTAGTTGGGGGGGGCACGCGGCGGCGCGGCAGTCTGCTCGCCTGGCATGTTCGGAAATCCGTGGGCCAGGGGGAGTGTAGCCAGTCTAGGGGGGTGGGGGGGGGGGGCAGTCACTTGACATGCGTGAAAAGCTGGAATGTTCGAGTTTACACTGTCTCGCTCGAGAGAGCCCAGGTGAGCAGACTGCCGCGCCGCCGCGTGGCCCCCCCAACTAAGTTAGCACCGATTCGATTTCTTTCCAGTTTAACATTTCTTTTTGCTTTTGCCGACACCACATTATCATCGGAAATCGTGGTCTAGTTATTGTTTACCATATAAAGGCCTACAGGAACGTGTAGTTAGGCTGCTTTCATAGTTCGCATCGGTGCCGACGGTGCCGACGGCGCCGACCGCACCGACAGTGTGAAGAGCGTCAACACGCGCTCTGGCGCATGACGCGTGCGCTGGGCGCAGATGGGGCGCTCCGGTCGATAATCTTGGTTTGGTATTTCTTGTATTTTTTCGATGTTTTTTGCACTCACTTCATATGAATAAACAAAATTGCTTACGACCAACACACCCGGTATGGCCACATCCACCCGGAGTTGTGCGACGGGTTCACGACGTCGCTCGCCCGCGGAACAACTGGAAAGTATTAATAAAGTCATAAAAGGGCGCAATGTGGCTCGGAGGGGGGGGACAGCCGTCGCGCGGGGCGTTGTGGCAACAGGAAACTCGCAAGCCAGGGGGTGTGGCCAATTCAGGGGGGGGGGGGGTGCAGTCACTTAGCATGCGTGAGAAGCTGAAATGTCCCGTGAAAAGCTGGAATGTTCGAGTTACACTACATCGCTGAGCCGCGCACCGACTTCCTCCCCCCCCCCGAGCCACATTGCGCCCATAAAAGAATAAGTATGAACAGGAAACACACGAATTAAAAAAACACGAAAAAACGCGAAAAAAACATCGAAAAGCACAAGAAATACACCAAAACCAGGATTATCGATCGGAGCACGCGATCTGCGCCCAACGTTCGCGTCATGCGCCAGAGTGCGTATTGACGCTCTTCACACTGTCGGTGCGGTCGGCGCCGTCGGCACCGACCGCACCGATGCGAACTATGAAAGCAGCCTACTGTATAGCGTACCGGGGTCTGTGGTCATTAGGGACGAAGGTGACTGGATCGTTTTCACGCGAATTTGCCGCGGTCGGAATCTCAGATCCACCGCTGGATCTGGGAGTGGCTGAAGTTTAGCATGCGAAAAAGTTTCGCGCTGCGAAACTCGAAAGTCGACTTCTGTCGCTTTGTCCCACTGTGTCCGGAATTTCCACAAGGTCTAACCCGCTGAGCAATTTGAGTTATGTGGGTTGAGAACTGCGATCATGCGAGAAAATTTCATCTTCATTGCACGCAAGTTTATCGGCTATCATTTTAGTTTTTCAGGCGACCATGACCCTGAGATGCAAAGTCTGTCAAAAGAATAATCCGCAAATTGTGGAAATAAATAGGAATCTCAAACCAGAGGTTTGCTGAAGGAGAAAACGTTTTTTTGTCATGTTCTTTACCTCTTATATATTGGATTTTCTGGAAAATTTCCGCAGATTTTCAGTGTCGGCTAAGAATAAAATGCAAAAAAAAATGTGTAAAAAGGTTTTTTCGTAATATGAGGTGAAATACAAGAATGTAACTTCAGCATTAGGCTGATGTTACCGTAATCGGGACAGCGCGTCAAATGAGATGCATCATCGGCGCGCGCACACAATCTACGTTGCACTTGACGACATAGGCATCCGCAATGCGGGCGCCTCAAATCGTGGAGAAAGTAGGGGGAGCCCTTGAGGTATTCTCGTTAATATTCAGTGATCTTTATGAGTGGATAAGAAAATTTCATGGAAAATCTAATTTTTTGCGAGCGTAATGGAACCGCTTTTTAGGCCCTATTATCAAAACATACATTTTGATGTTTTGTAACTGCGGTACTTATGGACGCGAGCGACATAGAAGTGCGTCCAAGATGTAGTAGCGCCCATTGCTATGCATCAGCGACGCCATGAAAAGCCGTCGCTTCTCATTGGGTCATCGTATTGTATCTCTGTTCCAGCTATTTTCGTTATTCTTTCTCCAATTCAATACTGATTAGCGCGATTGGTTTAATTGTTAGCAACTGTCGCCATGCTGCGTTGCTACGATTCGTTTAACAATTGCTGTTTTTTATAAGTTTTAAATGTTTTAAATGAGATTGTCCATGTTCTGAGTATTCCCTGCATTAGGATCACAAATTGTTGTCATAATAACTTGCCTTATTAGATGTCAGATATATATTTATATATCATTTATCTAGATTTCCGTTGGATTTCCGTTGAAAAGTGATGTAAGGATTGTCGCCTTCGCGCTCCATCCCAGGGAACTGTGTAATGTGATGGAAATCGTTCGCAAGAGGGTAGTGATGTTTAGCTGCGTATTGGACGTCCGACGATGAGTCTTCGAAATCGGCTCTATCAGATAGGCCAGCATATCATGTATTTATGAGTCTACTCAGCAACGAACGCATTGCTCATCACATCACCTTAGATGGTCATCAATGAAGCATAGGTAATGCGTTCATGTATGCAGTGGTGTCATGTCCGCTGATGTACTCATCACCGTTCAATAAATTTCATTTACTTCTTTCTATGCGAATGTGGTTACATCTCAGATGACAAGTTGTTACGGTCTTTTGTGAACAGACGGTTCGTGAACAAAAGAATAATGTGACGATGATTACCCATGATATGCTCCTAGAGCAAGAAGTAAACTTTCGAGCTTCTCACGGAACATCCCAGCTTCTCACGCATGTCATGTGGCTGCCCTCACCCCCCCCACCCCCTGAATCGGCTACATACCCCCTGGCTGCACGAATTTCCTGCTGCCGCACCGCCGCGCCACCCCCCCCCGAACAGGTTTCACGTCGAAATAGTGAGGTCGACTAAATGCACGATACATTTCCAGAATCTTCCGAAGCGTTTGCCGTCAAGTACAACGTAGATTGTGTGCGCGCGCCGATAATGCATCGCATTTGACGCGCTGTCCCGATTACGGTAACATCTGCCTAATGCTGAAGTTACATTCTTGTTAGGTTGATTAGGGTTAGCCATTAATAGTTGAATTCGACACCTTGACTTTTTTATTAACCCACATCTAATGAATGACTGACGTCTTCATTTGTCAATTCCTCATAGCATTCATTCATTTATTGTTTTTTTAGCTACGTCAATTGTTTACACCTCTCGAGGAGGACTTTCTCGTCAATCGTGCGCGAAGTCTCGCATGTAATGGATTTTCAGGATAGTCATAGAATGAGTCTAATAGGCATCTACAAAGCACGGTTAACCTTTTGCTGTTCGACTTACAAGATTCCATCATTATGTACCAGGTTCCATTATTTTCTTGTTTAATAATGGGGATTGCCGCCACACCGGTGTGGCGGCCGGGGGGAAAGGACTCGTTGCTGAAGCCGCCACTAGTTGAGTTCTCGGTGTCGGTCCCATCACTTCGGTCTATAGCGCTTGACAGTTCTGCCGACTAAGAGCCTTTTAGTGAAGTGTTAAGGGCATCTTGGTATTACTATTCGATGCCGTCGCAGCAAAATTACTAATGATATGAATGGTGCTCCATAATATCAAGGTGACAACTTAGGTGCCATTGGGCTGTTCTGAATGGAAAAATAAATCTGAAATTTTTCTTAGCCTCTTCTTCATGTTGGTATTAACTATCGTTACACATCTTTTTGCTGAGCTATGCTAGCCTTAGCTGTCATTCTTCCCTTGCGCCTTCATACAATCCTCGTTATTCATTTGAAGATTGATTTCCCTTAAATTTCCTCTAGCCCCTCTCGTTCTCGTCTGTGTGACACCACAATCTCATACTAGTGATCTAATGTGGGACTCAATCCTCAACTTGCTCCTTTTTCGTTAATAACATAGTCCGCTTCTGAAAAGTTCCATTGCAGAGCTCCAATTTCGATGCCTTGCAGAAGTTTTGTAAGGAGGAAATGCGGAAGAAGAGTAAATACAAGGCGTAAATCTTGCTGTTCTATGACTACCTTTTTTATTTTCTGTCTTCTTTGCTTTTATTAACGCTACTTTCACCACGCTTCCATTCTTGTTTTCTATTCACTTTTTACAGTGATTTGGATCGCGTCAGTGCAGAATATAAGAAGAAATGCAAAGAAGTGGCAACACTTAAAAATCAAATTGTGAAGATGAGCAGTTGTACTGTCAAGTGAGTATCATAACATTCTTTCAGTCATTTGGCATCAAAACGTGAATACCTTTGTATTCCTCCTCCAGTTTATTTGGGTCTCGTTTCCTTACGATTAATCCTGCTTTCATGACAGGAATTTTCTTCTGATCGCGAATTATACGCTGGCTGTGTCCTCTATTATTACACGGTATGGTTTTCGCGTTTAAAAAAAGTGGTACCGATGCTATCACGATTTCGCCAGCACTGAGCCAAGGATGTTGAACTCAGAGCAGTATATATTGAGAGTTCTCCCATCTCGAACGTTAACTATTTGATTTCGAATTAAGAAAAAAATTCTTGTTTGAGTGAAAAGGAATTCTGCGACAAGCTCGAAATAATTCAACGTTCCATCTAAAAACGTAGTTGTGGTTGGATTCAGATCTCTTTTTGTCGAAAGTTATATTACGCTTGCTAAGTGCAAGCAGAAAACCAGCTTGAATATCTGAAAACAAGCGTTACATATGAGAAGCCTTTCAGGCAATGCTTCTATAGGACATTGACTGTAGAAAAAAATAGGTACAGATCACAGCCACCATGAAAATCCTATACCTTCTCAATTATTGTGCCATCATGACAAATTCAAATACGCATTTCTCCAAATGCGGCCAGGCCCCGAGTCCCTTTTCGCCGTTGTTTGTGATCTATCTATTGTTTCTCCTCATAAAAATTTCAGCTTAAACGAATTGACAAGCGATCCTTTTCGTACTCCAGTAGCAGGAAAAGATCATGGTCAGCGTAGTTTTACCACGTCTACCCCTTATGCACATCCTCGACAGCGACGTCAGTTTTCACTTGTATTCGTTTTGAGGATTTTAACATATGTGATTAGTATTAGGTTTTTAGCCGAGGATGTAACGGAGTCTACAATGATGACCACCAATCACACCGACAGTGGCAATTCATTCGGAGCACTTGGTATTCCTTTGGTATCGATGGATTCTGGTGGCGAGGTCTTCCATCGTTCTTCGACACTTTGCCTCTACACTTGTTTTTAACGAGTCTTGTTTTAGATCTCGAATCTTGCTCGCATGACATCTGCCATGTGCAGAAACGGTAACAATTCTACTAATGACACGCTTGAAAAGGACAAGGTATGTTGTTGACAGTTCGCACACAGCAGCCGACCCAATAAGAGTTGTTAAGGAACGCAGTTTTTGAATGAATCACAGGTCAACCTTGCAATGGATGAACTTAAGAAATGTTCAACAGTCCGTATTACCACCGTGCGCGTAATTTCTGATTACTGTGCCAGTCACTCGCTAGATGTCGGCAAATGTGTGCGCTTAATCTTTCAATATCATACGTATCTCATTTACGATTGTTTTAGCGCATCGACGAACGAGGCTTTTACCCGCTTTTCTCAAGCAGTGAAACAGTATTACCTTCATCAGAGGTTTGAATTAGAGACCTTCCAATAACTTTACCTAATAATGAAATTATTTACTGTTCACCACGAAAGCAATTCATTTTTTGAATTTGGGTAGAGAGAATTGATATCTTATTTAATGTAAACAGAAAAGTAGACGAGAATTCCACTTTTGTATATTCAAACTTTTGTGCCCTTGGGCATAGTTTGATGGCCGTTTCCTGAAGTCTCTTTATCTTTTTGAGAATCGTAGATAGAATCGATTGTACATGACATGGCTGTTCCTTCCCCCCGAAAACTACGGATGAACCTCCGAAGGAAGTGCTTGTCCTCGCATATTATTGTACACCTGTATTTACTCACCCTTTACTCAGCGGAAGCATCAATTTAAAATATTTACTAATATTATAAAAAAGTAAAAATCGGCTCTTGTGAATTGTGACTTTTCACGTATTTTCATTAGAGTTCTAATATACATGGCAAGACCCGCGGTCAAGATGTGGACACTACATCTTCCAACGATAATTGCTCGGCTAAAACTCCGGCAACAAAAAAATCGTAAGTTTTTTATTGGCATTTCATAAACAGTATATAGTCTTTCTTGTAGCCGGGAATGTTTTAACGCTTTTCATGTCATCTGATGCGTGATTTAGAAAAGCTCTTTATATAAGGTAACTCGCCAAAGTAGCATCAAACGGAATAGATCGCAAACAGGGTAGTATACTAGTTGTTGGAGGCACACTCATGCATGTATTGACATACATATTTACCCAAGAAATAGCTGGAGCGCTCAAAAACAGCGTTACCCGGTGTGACTGTACGGGTTTGCGTGTTTTTTTTTCTTTACCCCAATAGGAGTCACTCTATTGGTACCAAACTTGTCTGGGAGGGTGAAAAAAGGCTTGGTTGGCTCATGTGGCATACGATCCAGATTTGATCCACGCATCTCGCAGGAAATCAGCGCCAGTTCTCACTACATCACTTCCGCTTTGTTATGGCCACGAAAAATTGTGGGAGCTATACTTGAAAGCTGTGAAAGTTAATAAATTCTTGTCTGACCATTTTTGAGAATACAGGATTCGGTGTATTCATGGCATCTTTAGGAAGCTGGATATAATGTCAAAGACTCAACCTCTGCCGATGAAGTCTGCATCACCATTTTAGAGTTTCAACCATTATACAATTCATATTTTCTAGTTATTTATTGTACGTACAACCATTCCTGTTTTTCGATGGTTTTGTTGTTGTTTGTTGTTAAATAGTTGTTGAAATTAATATACTATATAGATTACCATTTCATTACATAGACAAGGAAAGAACTTAGTACTGGTCCAAAAGTAGCTGCATGACATTCCCACCGTCACCGAAAAACTTAAAAGTTTTCTCATGTTTCCTTGTTTCGAGCCCCTTTCCCATCTCCTTTTTCTCATACTTTTGATCTGTTTTCTGTGCCTTGCTTAAATCCTGTACCATCTATGTCTGTGTCCTATTGTTTCATCGTACTTTTTCTGCTATACTATGTTATTTATGGTTTTTACTGTTCAATTTTGTGGATAAATGATGTTTCGCGGCATCCACGTGTTCAAGCTCAACCCTCACACACTTCGAATTCATTGTTCTGGAACGATCCGTCTCAGGGATCTTCAAATCGAGAGATTTTTTAGGTTCTTCAAGCTAGCGGCTTTCTCCGCTAAGCGCCACGAGTTGCCCAGCGGGAGGTTGCGGCTCCGCGCGGCGGGCGCTGTGAGGAACGAATAAAAAGGAATGGGTAGGCTGGTGTGGCACCCTTCTCATGGCAAAACGCGCTTCGTCTCGCACTCTTAGAGAGCTTGATTGCCTTCCGGCAAGGTATCATTCTCCTTCTTCGACTTCGCCGTTTGTCGTGGAATCCTGTATCATTTTTAACAATTAAAGGATAAAGGATAAAGCATTTGCCGTTGATCAATCCCTTTTTGGGATGCGGCACGCATTCTACTTCCATTTGTACATTCGCAGTGGCGTTTGAATGCGATGTGGCCTATACAATGACTTGCGGGGGCCAGCCGATGTTCAAGTCAGTGTTTTTATCCTCCCAGACAAGTCTGGTACCAATTAACCGACCCCGGAGGGATGGAAGGCTTGGTTGGCCCGGGCGACTCACGACCCAGGATTTGATCCCCGGACCGCTCGCGTGGTAAGCGCGCCACTTGTCACTACACCACTTCCGCCCCTTTTTTACAGAATAGGAAGCTTTTGTGGCAGAGCTCGTATAGACTTGGTCGAGTGGAACAATCATTAGCACATGGCGCATAGTAGTAGCATATAAAGCATGAAAGAGTGCACGTGCTTTTGTTTTGAAGACCATCGTCGTGTGCTACCGTATCCTCAAACTTGCGGGTGCTAAGACTTCAAGGTATGGTCTTTTATAAACATCTTGGGTGGATTAGGAGATCTGCCTTCGCAAAAATGTTAATGTTTTCTGCCAATGAAATGATTAGCCTGTTGCAGTTGTATTCTATCGATTGTCACTAATTACAACTATCATTTACCAGAAATCAGCTATCACTATGAACAACTTCTAACCAGATTTACTTGGAGGCCGTCGTCAGTTGTGGTGTTTGGTCTGCACCCGACACTCGCTTCGCTGAAGGTATTTTACCAAGAGCAAGTGAAAACCGCCTCCATTAAGGGCGCGGCACTGTATGGTGACCTCAAAAGGCCCAGCCCGCGGCGAAGCCAAAGAGACGCAATTGCTGCAAGGACGAGTCGCAGCGTTGTGCTGTCGATATGAGACGTAGGGGCCGTATGCTATGCTTCCCCGAAGCTAGGTGACGCAAAGTTTCCTTTAAATTTATTTGCTTTGAACGATGTAGTTTCTTCATTTTCAATGCATGTTTACTTTAACCTACATACATACATTTAATGTAGGCCTTTTATCAGGGTAATCCAGTTGGGAAGACAGAGAAAATTTAAAGGAATTTTCGTCCCCTAACCCCTTCGGGGAGCATAGCATACGGCCCTGAGATGGTAACCTCTCTTTAACCTGACGCCTAACCGCTACAGTATGCGCTGCGACTCGTCCCTTTGCCGCGTCTGCGTCTTTGCTCCGCCGCGCGGTGGGCCAGTTGGGGTTACACCCCTCTCCTGCATGTAGTGTTGTGAATCTCTTCCCCTGGGTGTGAGGAGTCGAGGGAATCTTCGCTGGCGATCATTAGGGTCTGCAATTGCGGCGCGTATCGCCACGGGAGACAGTTCATGTGAATGGTGTTCTCAGTGATTGGAAAAATTGCTTTGAAAGCTCGATATTGGTGATGTGACCCTTATGGAACAGCCTTGAAAAACATTTCTGATGTGTCGTTTTTGTATCACGACTAGTGGAGGTTAGAATGGAGAATGCCTTCATTTGGTATCGAGCCTGACATTGTTCAAAAATTGCACAAGTGAACTGCCTCCAGTTCCAGTCGCCTGCGAAGAGCCTTTCATTTGTGTGAGGATGTATAATGCCACCTGAAAAAAATCTTTGCTTTCAATTTGTACCACCACGGGAGCATGTAAATCGTCTCACTGTATTCAAATGAGATGAGCGAAACGCAGTGAGCGCCTCCAGTGCTTGCTGACGACCTTCCGTTGATTTCTGTATCGGCGATTCTGCTTCGACCCAGTAAATAAGCTCGCGATGTTCGCGTGGCATGTACTCCTTTGCTCGTGCAGGAATCGTTCTCTCTTCGCCTGCATTAATGATGAGTAATTTTGAGAAGCAGTATGCGTGTTGGCTTTTTACCACATAGTGGCATGTGGCTGAGTTAAGAACAGTTGAAGGAGACATCGCTAAGCGACGCTATCTTCTCCTCTTGGTTAGTGCCTTCATAGCAAAGGACCAAAGATCGGTGAGTGGTGCTTGTTTGGCGCTTGATCATCCGTGTGCAGGGCAAAGTTTGACGTGACAGAGGTCCCTTTTCAGAGGCCTGCGAAACGCATTATTTGTTCAGATATCGAAGACTTTCGGAGCTTGCGCAATATTTTGAACTCATGACGATTCGTAGCCCTATTCCTGCAGAGCCGAAATTTCCTTGCTCATCCCGTATTTGCCTTCGGCGCATGTTGGCTGGTATGATCGAGACTGACGTGATAATAGAAAAGCTTAGCGGAGGCGCGAAAGGCGTGCTGATAACGTCAATAAGCTGCTGCAGAGCGGCGACTAGGATTTTTACGAGCAGCGATACGGGTACAGGTAGGTTCCTTCCTTAGCTACAGATACAGTTGAGGTCCCCTAGTTTCCTTACGAGCAGATACAGTAAGCCCCTCACGCGGTGTAAAGGCAGAGACGCAGACGGGTCTGCGGACGAGTCGCAGCGCGTACTGTGTCGATGGACGTCGGGTATGGTTTACTAGTACAGAAAGCGAGCTTTTTCGCCGCTTCGGCAGCGAGAATCTCAAATGCCGGCGCTTATCATGAGTGGCCTGCAGCTAGCCTGCAGCGACCAATGTTTCGGTGGCGAAACGGCGGAAAAGTCGCTTTTAATGTTCTCCGTGAACCAACACCCTTGGGGGTCCAGTCAAATGGGATGTAGTGAGTACCTGACCTGCAGAATAGGCGCCTGTTACTCGCGCTGACGCCGTCTGCGTCATATGTGTTCTGCGCCGCGGCGACGAGCAGGTACGGCCAGCAGACACCATCCTCGCTCTAAGGGAATGAAGGCTTTTTTAATGTGGAGAAAATCAACGGATTTCACTTACTACGCTCCTGCCGCGCCGAGGAATCTCTACGCACACATGTCAACTACCAGTGGGATTTGATGTTCCATAAATGAATGTCTCCGAAAAATGTTCAAATACAAACCTGTATGTTCAAACCTTTAGGACGCATCTATCAACTGTATTGTTGAGCTCTGTGCTGCGCTAGCTCCACAATATGCCATTGGTCCGAGTTCCTCCATTCCTATAAAGAAAATCCGTATTGAATAAAGTGGACTCGAATTATTGGCATTAAATGGCAAAGACTGAAACAGTTTGACATTGCGGTGTGGGCCTTCCGGTAAAGCGCAAGGCGCGTTTGTATACGACAGAACGTTCCGCACCAGGGTATTCCGCGCCACGATTCGTACTTTTTCAAAAATTTTGCTATGGCACACTCCACCCGCAACTCCGTCCACTTTTTCCTCTAATACGGCCGGTGAGCTGGGAGGGGGGGGGGGGGGGGTGAGTGGAGGAGGTGGATCACAAAAACGAGCGCAGATCACCAATTTTTATCACACTTTACTTTAACTTTCGTGGAGCTTTCGCCAGATTCCGCTCAAAAAAACCACATCTAATTTTTTCGTGACGCGCCAATTCGCACTTTCTGCAGAGGTGTTTAACAGCTCTCCTCAGCCATTTCGGATTCATGGCAACCCATCATTGCAGATGGGAATTCTCTGCTGGGGAGTGTGGGAATATTCACTGGCTCTGTGCGCAATCCTTAAGGAAAGAGCAGTCTACTCCTTTGATGTCATCCTTGGTCACTTCCACTGATAGGCGCTTGCTGAGATCGCGCACGATGCGTGCGCCTTTGTCTGAACTTCAAGTGAGGCTTGCGAGTCCTACAGTGAGGTCATAAACCCTTGCCGGGTGATAGGGAGGCATAGGATGAGCCCCAGCTCATAATGATATACCATTCTCGTGTCTAAAGTCCGCCACCCACCAAGCATAACCGTGAACGATATGCTTTTCCGATGGCAGCAAAAAACAATAATTGCAAAAAATGTGAAAGAATGTGATACAAAGGATCCGATGAGAAGGAAAAAAATAGAAACAACCTTCAAATACTATTTCATGAGGACTGAGAGCCTTATATCCCTGTAGAAAAGGGCGCAATCCGTGGTAGAAGTCAGTGGGAGTCAAATGCTCCGGTAATCGCTGAAGAAGGTAACTTGCAAGTATATTTTGTAAGGAAGCTACGACTGAACGGAATTGGTATGTTTCACAAGAATGCTGGGTTGTGAACAAAACTTTTCGCCCCAGGCGGGACTAGAACCCGCACCTCTCGCGAGGTGCGGGTTCTAGTCCCGCCTGGGGCGAAAGTTTTGTTCACAACCCAGCATTCTTGTGAAACATTCGCAAGGCGAACTGCGGCCAAAAACAGCAGTTAACAAACAAAAACAAGTCAAAATCGTATAACTTTCTTATGACTCTTGCGAACGACATTACTGACTATAATCAACTTCCAAGGCGGGATTCGGCCAAAACTGAAGCGTAACCTCAGATCTAGTAGAATTATATGCTACTTTTTGTAAGAAATAGGAAGCTGAGAGTTTATAAAGAATCAGTGAGGGAAGCTTCTCCGTATGGAGGTCAGACTTCGCGAATCGAGGTTCGCGGTAGCGTATGAGGCAGCGAATCGCTCGATTCGCAATGTCTGACATCAGCATATAAGGGAAGGGATACGTATCGATTAGGCCGCCTACTCGCCTAGTCGCTCAGCCGCTTACTTGCATACTCGCCTAATCGATACATAGATTTTATTCTTGATCCATCGCCTAATCGCACGTACGATCGCTAAACCTGAACGCTGCCTACTTTTCGAAGCCAGTTGCATCCTAAACCCTGAGCGGAACACTTAAATTGACTCACCTTCATGGTAGCGGTAGCTTTCAACAAGCAATCGTGAATGCTGCAAAGAGCTTCATTGAGGTAATGGGAATCATCCTCGTTTTTGAGGTATACAGCACGAATCACTTTGTATACGCAAGGTGCGAAAATCTTTGATCTAAAATATATTCTTCATCTAAATATGATTCAAAATTCGCACAAACAACTCGCACCACCAGGTGCGCGTAGTTTAATTTACTCTGCTTATGAAAAAAAAACTTGAGTGCTGTTAGAGGGTGTGCCACACATTAACGATCAACTTTGTCTTGTTACTGAAAAAATCCATACCTCAGATCAATTTGACAACAAGGAACTCTAGGCATACTGTATACGAATGCACGAAGGATAACGCACTTGGTGTAGGAGCGGTGCGATTTTGTGAGTGCAGCGGTGGACAAGAAAAAAAAACAGAAAACATAATCATAAAGCATGCATAAACACAGCACTATTCAACTATGTCTTGAACCCCATCACATACAGCTACATTTTTGTGTGATTTGTGAACAAATTGAAATGTAACAATTCAGAGAAAAGTGATTTATTCAGCTGCGGTACCACAGGGTGCCGCGCTGTCCCACGCAGCTTGTACCAGGTACCGGGCTCGTGGTACTCGATGCCACTACATGGTCGTTGACGTACCGAAGGCACATTTCATAATGATCCTGCTAGTGGATCCATACAAAACGTGCGCCCTCCTCCCGTGTTGTGCATTACGTTCTAGCATGAACCACTTGGAGGGGCGCAGTGGTTTATGGTGGTCTACGTTTAACTATTAGGTAAAATATGAGTTCAAATTGAAATGAGTGTGATCGCTGATGGAGCTACCGCTATTCGACATTTGCGCGGCTCGTGAACAAAGATTTTACTCCTCAAAGTAATAAGTGGCAGTCTTTCTTCGTTTCAAAGTATGTCTGGCGCGAGTCCCATAGGCGGTGCTACGCGGTTGTTCTGCCGTAGAGCGCTTTCCCTTCGTAGTTCTTCTACAAGTGTATCTCGGCGCGACCAATGTAAGAGCTCGAAACGCTCATCACAGCGGGGTTAGAGCATTAGGCCACGATACTTCTAGGAACCTTACCTGAAAACCTCGGCTGAGCTGCTCTTACAGTTCTTCGCTTCTTCAGGGCGTGCACCTACAATGTGCACGCATAATCTTTGCTTATTAGGAAAGGCTTCATATTCCCATGGAACTCTTGAATAGACCTAGACAAGTCAGCAGAGCCTAGGAGGTTGCAAATGTGAAAATTCAAAACTGGCATGTGAACCGGCCAAAGAAGTATGGGTGGTCAAAGTTGGTTAAGAATGCTACGTTGGTATAATGGCCATTGGTGAAAGCCTCCTTCAAAAGAATACCGATAGCCCCCGATTACGAATATGACATCGACACTTTGGCACCTGGAAGCCTTTACCTAAAATGCGAAAATTTTGCCTGAGGTGGAATCACCGGACCAATTTGATCGCCTCAGAACTTTTTTTGGCAGGTCTCCGTAGCAGTACTGAACTTTCTTAGTAATAACTATTATCTCAGGTTCCATCGATTTGCCTTGGTCTCAATTCAAGGTTACATGGAAACTTAAAGGCCTTTGCTGGTTAGCTTCCGAGTAACGCACCAGTGTGGCAGTTAGAAGGGTTGGAATAGCCCTTGCAAAGTCCGCAAAATAAAAGTTGTTGTGGGAAAATCTTTCTTGCACCTACCTGAGCTGTTACAACAAAAAACCAATGATTCGCTCTTGACTCTAAAAGGATGAAGGCGTTCAGCTCCAGATTGTCGGGTGAAAACGGTTGCGAAGGATCAATCAGCTTCCAGTTGGCTAGACAAGCTGAAGCGTGGCATATGATCGCACGAAGTCCAAGCCGATTGGACACATCCATGAGAGGCCCGCACAAATTCTTCGGTATAATAAGGGATTCCTGCAAAAGGTTTAAATTAACTATATGAAAAAATGATTGCAAGAATTATCTTCCGGATAATGAGTTGCATATTTGCGCTACGAAGAATCGAATATGATCGCGGCTTTTTGTGGCTCAACGCGTTTTTGGCCTTCAACTTTATAGGCACGTGGTACGATTTCGCTTGGTTGGGAAGTACAATACACCGGCCAGCATGCAGACTGGTTGTGTCATATTTGACGGCCCCCATACGAGTTGTAGAACTTGTGTCGCGAGGAACGGCAAGCTCAATCCGCAACACTTGTCTCAAATGACGCCACACTGCGTGTCAGCGTCTCTTTGATATTCATCGTCCGTCCGTTGTCCCCTCAAAGTCACTTTCTCATCTTTTACGTACACTATCCTTTCCCTTGGGCGATGCAACATCAGCAGCTATGGGAAGCCTTATTCAGACGTGTTTCGCCAGTCCGACTTCGGTTCTTGTTCATTCAGTCAACATAAAATTTACAGTCTCATGTCTGAACCAAGATAGCCACATTTTGGTATCCTGCCTTAAAGTCACAATTAAAAGCACATCCCACGCAGACGTCAAGCACGATTTCCTTTAGTCTGTAGGATAGACCTCCAAAGGACAGTAGATGGCGCAGCTCCCAAGCATGGCTTTCACCCAAAAAGCGACCGCAGGCCTTAAATGTAAGCTGCAGGCAGCTGCAGGCGGTTTTAGGCTTGTTGTCTGGCACCCTTTCATACTGTTGCCGCTGTTGTACCACACTATCTCTGGCGCTCAACCACGCCTCATGCTTTTAGCAGAGCCCGCAGTGAAGGTAGCAAGCCTACACCGTTTTCACCGTTCCTTTTGTGTTTTCAATTAAGTGCGGCCCATTACCACCAATAACTTCATATGTGTGCGCAGAGACCCCTAGGCAGTCGTTGATCTTTTGGCATGCTTTCAAGTAATGTGCTGGAGGATTAGCTCCAACTGCAGCTTCTCTACTGTCAGAGTCTTACAAAGTGAGTTCAATCCATTCATACTCACATCAGATACTGTTTCACTCCAAATGTATGCCGATATTATTGTGGCCAGAAGAAGATGAGCTGTTCTCCAATCCTCATAAGTTATAAGCTGGTCTGTAGTGAGTTCTGGCATGTTGTGAACAGCTTGTCGTACGGACTGATTTTTGATGAGTCGCACCATGTTGTCTGAATCAAGCAGTACTAACGAGCGACTTATTCCATAACTATTCACGGTAGTTGATGCTTTATCGCATAACTTTTCTCTCCTGTTTTTTCATGGTGTTTCTTTTGATGATGCTCTGTTTTTTTCCAACTTTTAATTTCCGAACTATTTTTTTGCTCGTGGCTTTTGTTTGAGTAAATTTTCGTACCTACAGTACCATTGGTAAAAAGTCCACTGGTAAATCACTGGCAATAGAGAAGAAATGTGGAAAGCTCTCATATTTTAAAGGCAAAGTTCGGGCTCAGACCCACCTAATAAGCCCTTAAAGTGGCTAGAAGTGCATGGGACGCAGCTGCAGGCGACTCGCCAAGTTCCCGCATCCAAATGCGTCACTAAGGCGCTAGGGGCCAAGGACTTTGACACGCTCCACCTGTTGCGACACGCTCCGCCCACCGCTCGATATTTTGTCTGCGTCGCAATGCTGATCTGCTATGCTCTCTCGGATTTCTCTACCGCTCTCCGCGCTCACATTATCTCTCATCTCCCTGCCGGCCTTTTGAACTTCTCCGCAACGTAGAGCAAAAGGCTCGTATTTCCTGTGTATTTCACGATTTTTTTCCTTTTTTCTCCACTGGCGGTCCACCCTCCGCCCCTACATCACATTTGAGTAGAATTACCTCATCAGTTTAAGCTTGAATCTTGCCTTTAACAACTCTTAAAGCGAGCCTATCGACCGCTCATGGTCACGGTCACACGAGATAACCTTGAAAGAATCGACAACGCATGTGATTTTGCCTGGTCTTGATGATATCGCACGTGAGTTGATGAATGTGCCGTCACAACAGAATTGTCTACAGAGGACAAAATGTAATAATTCGTTCATCTTGAAACCTGCCCCTAATTGTTCGCTTCATCCCAAATTTCATTCCTCTATTTATTTCACGAATTCTGATGAACTATGTTGCTAGAGGACGGAAGTGGTGTAGTGGCAAGTGGCGCTGCTTATCACATGCGCAGTGTGAAGATCAAATCCTAGGTTGTGCATCGTTTGGGCACCAAGCCTCTCATCCCTCAGGGGTCGATTAAAGGAAGATTCCACGACAAGGATGGACGTCGAAGAGGAGAAGTTTACCTAGTGGGGAGACAGGCGGAATTTCTAAGGGTGCGGACCGACACGCAATCCGCAGCGAATGGTATGCCCGCGGCCATCTAGCATGGCCCTCCCGCGCGGCAGTATCGGCGCGGAACGCCCATAGGATGGTCCACCTCGCCACAGTATCTAGCCGGCAGAGAGAACGTAAGCGTTGAAGCGGGCAACACCGATGGGGGTTGCACCAGTGCGGAAGTCAACGGGTGGGGAAGGGTCTGGAATGTTTCTTATGGTTTTTCTTCTCTCATGCAATCACCTGCCAAATCGCCAGGGCTTAAAGGGAATCTTCCACGGAAAAAGCTCCGCCTCCATTACCACAGAAAAACGATACCTTAGGCCCTAGCCTCATGAGCATAGCAAAAAGAACGGAACATAAGCGTTAGTTTCGATAATACTAATCCTACACACAAGACAAAATGATCACTCTTTTCCGTAGAAGATTCCTTTAAGCCAATAGTTCCTATCCATCGTGATATCCCCCTAATTGGTTTCAGGCTCGTTGAGAGGATAAACACTGACTTGTGCAAGTGGCTGGCCATCACAAGTCATTGTGTAGGCCAAATCGCAACTTCCAAAATTGTCAGCTCGAAATTTGGACCGGGGCTGGCCATCGTGGCGGGAGCTTTCAACGGGGTTGCTCACGCTGAATGCTGTATGTTTTTATGCTGTCTGACGCCTACTCTGTCCAGACTAGTAGCGTCATTGAATTCAATACGACGTTTTGAGCGCAGGGTGAGTGACTTATCCTTCTATTTTATAAAGCGCTAACTTTGTGTGTCGGTTTGTGTATCTGTATGTGTGTGTATGTATGTATGTATGTGTCCGTCCGCAAAATGAAGTGAGTGAGAAGGAAGCTCATGGGATAAACAAACCGCTAACAAATCGGGTAGCTTACAGGATTTGAGATATCAATGTTTTGTAGCAGGATAGTTGTGATAACACTCTTAGGGCTATATAAACACCTGCTTAGCACACTTCCGTTCATTCCACATGGTGCTGCAGTGGCAGCTGGAGGGCAGTGGAGAGAGGAAGGAGGATGAGGAAGGGATGAGGAAGGGAAGCGAAAAATCTACCGTCATCATGATTGTGTCCCTTCTGAAACTGAACTCTACTTGAAAATCGGGTCTGTTTTAATCCGTCTACGAAGGTGTGGCAATTCGGTAAAGTGAAGATCATGGATTCACTACATAACAATACCGGATAGCATTGTTTTCAAGAAATATATCAGCGGCGCACACGTTGGATATCGTGTAAGGCATTAAAGACTTAATTGCAAGGGAGCATGACGTCAACTTGATCGACACTCACAAAAAGGTAAGGGGAGAAGAGCTAAGGCTCCCATTGTGTGGCAAAAGCTGAAGCATGGCTGCTGTAACACCACTCTTTTCTCTGACAGTAACTTCACGAGAAATTTTGCAAATCGTCAGCATCAGAATGTTTCTTCGAATCGTCGGAGGGATGTCGATGTCAATCCCCTATAGCTCCAACTATCTTAGGTAGCACGGGTAAAAGGTTTGGTTTTGAGTGTTCAGTATTTATCAATAGTCAACGAATTACCATAGCGAAATTTTTAAATTCACGTCTCCGTAATAGTTGCGAGCCACAGGCTTCCTGAGCCCTGAACTAAATATCTATTAATCGTAAACTAGGAAACAGAACAACACAAACTGTGTTAGGGGTCACCCTATCTGTCCCCATTGTTTACACACATATTGTTATGAGTTTCTGCCAATGATAAGGGGCTGATGTCTTCGAGACCCTCTTGCTGTTTCTATCTACCATAATTGCCTACTAGTATCACGCGTGGCAATGGCCTCAAAAAAAATCAATATCTTGTCTGCTACTAGATGATATGTGGTCTTGCGATGTATTCGATGGCGAGTTCCAAAGAACTCCTGACAAATCGTTGAAACCGCTTCTGGTGAGGTCATATTGATTCTGATGACAGCTGAGGAGGCCACCGCAGAACTAGACAGCGAGTACTTCATGCTCCACGAAAATTTGCCAATTATCAGAACTGCAGTTCACACAGCAATGTTCGTCGCGTAAGAAGGGATGATCGAATGAGATTCCATAGGTTACAAATTGATGGCAACGTGAGATGTTCTCAAATGGGAGTATTTGCCGGCTTACTACTCAATACTCAATACTTTTGGGCAGCTCTTTAGATATTGCTCGATGTTCTTACGTACAGGTTGCCACGATGGAACTTTGTTATTCGGTCGACGTTTCGAACAATTCGTCATCTCCAGGACCTCTGTAGTTGCACCAGCACCTTGTTGCTCAGCCAATTCCTGGACAAGATGCGGAAAAAAACAACCAAACATGGAATCTCTTTACAAATTTTTCGATTTTTGTCCCAGTTTTCACATAGAAACTTCTACATAGTTTATGATCTGTACAATGAATGTTGGTAATCAAGCGGAAAAAGTCACTGCTTCCTGGCATGGACCTCCAGGAGGGCTTTTCTCAAAGGAATTTTATCGGCTACAGTCACGTTATTTGTTTGCTCTCTTGAATAATTCGCCAAATAATAGAACTCAGGATAAGCATCCTGCCGTGGGCCGCTGAGCCTCCACTTGAAATCAGTGAGTGCGTAAAATTAAGAGCAGGTCATCGTCAGCCGTTCATCAGTGATAAGGCGTTGCCCATATCGCCCGTATCCCCGTTCTCATTCAAACCGAGGTGTAGCCCTTCCACCAATGGACTACCAACAATGACCCTTCTTCGAGCGTAATGCACCCACTTTCCTTCAAACTGGTTTTCTCGAATAACTTACACCAAGTCGGGTGCAAAGTTCAACCAGCACCCATTTAAGACGCGAAAGTAAAGACTCCGTAATGTCTACGAAATCTAGCGTTATTTTCACTAAACTAAGAAAATTTAGGGTATCTTTCCCAAAAATGTAAGTGGCTCTTCATGAAAAGGAGAAAGTATGTACATGTGAAAAAAACATACTACACAAATCAATCCATGGTTGATAGTATGTGGGGCAGTTCTGACAGGTCGCACTTTAGAAGGAATCCTAGCTCTCTTGAGACTCGGAAACGTGCCAGCACTTTTTGAACCGTTTCCTTAACCATGTCTTGGTATTGTCCCGTGTTTTACCCTGAAAGTGGTAAATTTTCTGGATGTCAGGGCAGCGGCATTTTTGCGAAACAGCGGCGGTCGTTTCATTTGATTATCTCATCGACAAGACAAAACTGTTTTCCGACGCTAATCGCAACGAAAATATGATTTTACGATAGTGGTGAACTGGAACAAATGGAAAGCTAATTAAGCAGTGACGGCATTAAAGGCACAGTTTAAGCCGAACGTGTGGGCGGGTCCCACTTGGACCACTGCGTCCTTCTTATTGGTGAGTTCCTTCTGAACCCTCCAAAAGACTTGAAGGAGCTGCACCAGTTGGCAAGGTGCAATGGTCTAAGTGACTCTGTCCTTCAGAATCGGCGAATTATGCGCTGTTATGAAGGTAAGAGGCATGGTTTTTGCACCACATCGGTGAATATACCACTCGTGAAGCCAATTAAAGCTCCCCCAATGATGACGTTGGTGATTTGGTACCAAATCCTCCGTAGTGTTAATGTTGATGATCTCCATATTGTCCTGGGTACTTGTAAACATTGTGTAGGCCAATTCGCATTCAACTGCCACTACGAGTCTAAGGAAATCGAATGCAAGGCGCATCTCAAAAAGGACACATAACTGCTGAGCACTTAATTTTCTGTGTTGATATACTGTAGTTATACTGGCTGCCAAATGTTAATAAAAATACTAAAGGGATCACTAGTCATTCACGTAAAAAGGGATAACAGAACGCTCTTCATCGGTTCGTATCAGTACGATGATCGTATCGAGGGCGCATCTGTCATCAACTTCCCGAAAGTTCAGACATTCCAAATTTTTTTCAAAGCGGTCCACAAATCATGTGCAAACATTTTTGCATACACAGCAGAAGCCCTTCTTATTTCCTGATCAGCATAGCCTCTGCTCTACAAACCACTTCTCAAAAACTAACAATATCATGTACACTCCCAAACTTTTCGAAGAATAGCACCACTTCACGATTTATGATATTTGGTAGAAATTTAATGGTATGAGGAAATGGCAAACGATCGCTTAGGCGGCGTCCCTCATACCGAGAAGACTGAAGAATTCGTGAATACATATTAGGAGGCGTTGAAAGGAAGACCGGAGAGGGATAGCGCGCTAAAGATTTAGATAGGCATCGATTAGTTTTGCTCCTGAGCAGTTAGAAGTAGACATGCAGAAACTTCAGAAGCTTCAAATATCCGGTGGTTCACAGAGGAATATCTACTGCTGTGAATAGCTTTATGACCGTTGAAATAGTGTAGGGATTCCCTGAAATACGGTTCAGGATCTCGTAACTTCCCGGTTAGTCAAATCAATCCGATTCCTTCGTTGCCGGCTGTTCATATTCTCGAAATCGTGTCCAGAAA